GACTTAGGAATTTCTCATAAAACCCTCTTGGGAGACAAGTGAAGGGAAGAGTGGAACAAGAAAGGATTAAGTGAGAGAAGACCTAGAGGGGAAACTTCAACAAGATTAGAGATTGAATAATCTGGTGAGAATTGGAAAGATCTAAGCTCAGAAGTAAGTTCTTTAGCTTCTCTAACTCCTCTCTCGAATTTGAGTGTGATTCCATCATAATTGCACAACCTAGACTTGGAACATGCTTTTGAATTGGATGATTTTGAACTAAGTTGTCTATACATATATGTGAAGGAATTATCTTTTGTCTCTCATGAGAATTATGAAGAACTCACCATGCATATATATGTGATGTCGAATGCATAAGAAAGTTTAGTTATGTTTGAGAATCAAGAATCTAGTTATGTCTAGATTGATATGTATGTATTTGGAGATCCTATTAACATGAGTTTTAGGTTATGTTTTATTGATTAAACATGTTAATTTGAGCCTTGTGGAAGTGTCCCAAAAGAGTGTGATTTTGAAGCAAAATTTGGATTGAAATTGCAGAATCACCGCACGTGCGGGATTCATGGCAGCACATGCGGGAGCCAATCGCCGCACGTGCGGGATTCATGGCAGCACGTGCGGGAGCCAATCGCCGCACGTGCGGGGGTTGTGGCCGCACGTGCGGGAGAAGGACAAATTTGGGGTTTTGATTCTGCCTAAAAGGCACGTGCGGGACCAGCCGCCGCACATGCGGAGATCCCAGCCGCACGTGCGGCACATGTGGGAAAATACGGGTTTCTCCGTTTTGTGTGCTGAACCCTCGGATATTTTTAGAATTTGCATTTTATGCCTACTAACATGTGTAAAATTCATTCGAAGTGAATTGAACCAAGAGAGGATTTAACAAAGAGAAGTGAACTAATTTGTAAGTTTGAATGTGTGAAGGACACACTCTGGGAGGAACAAGCACGTCATCACAACACTGTGAGTAGTAGTACCGTTATATGCTTCAAATGTAGCTAATGATTGTCATAAGTTTATTATTCATGCATAAAATGCAACTATGTTATGTTTAAAATATGTAAAGAAAGAAATGGGAAAGATGAAAAACATTCATTTAGTAAGACTCTGAATTGTAATATGAAACAAAGTGCTGCGCGGAACTAAGTGCTACGATGTGAGCCACCTCTAGAGTCCGTGTGAGACACCTCTTGAGTTCATACAAACATGATTCAAGGGCTTAATGCCAACTTATTCAAGGGCTTAATGCCCACTTATGTAAGGGCCACGTGCCACTATGCTCAGGGGCTTAATGCCACCATGTTTAAAGGCTTTGTGCCATTACGTCTAAGGGCTTATAGCCATCATGTTTCAAGTTGTCATGTTACAAGTTACTATGTTCCAAGAATGGGCCAAGGCTGTTATAAAATTAATACAGATTCTGACCAACTATGTGTGTATCTTTTTATGCTTCGATGTATTATATTTCAGGTCAAGCATTGTTTTATTTATGTATTACTATTCACTGAGCTTGGCTCACTCTGTGTTATGTTTGTTTCTGTAGGTAACCAACCAGGTGGTCAGTCCTAGCCCTGACACCCGTTTTCTTTTGTCAACCTTCGCGGGTCCAGGCACTGCACGAAGCCATTTATTTTTGTAAAGTTTATTAAGATATTGGCTTACCTTTGATTACCCATTTAAGGTTGAAAGTATAGAACTTCAATGATTTTTTTTTGTATAAGCCCATGATGGGGCTGGGACTGTATGTGTGTTTGTATATAACCGATGCTACGAGATATAGTTTGGAACTTTATCTATTTTCTATGGTGCTTGTGATGCATGTAAGGTCCTGGCATGTAGATATAGCTCAATGGAGATTATATGTATCGTTATATTCTTATTATATGCTTCCGATAAGGCCCCGTATGTTATATACAACAGGTTAAATGTTCATTTTCGAACGGGTCATGCCCAAACTTGTAGGGGCGGGTTTGAGGGCGTAACAAGTGGTATCAGAGCACGAGTTGCTATCTCACACACGAACCCATTGAGTTTTAGGGTGTCTAGAAAACATTTAGGCATTATGCATGACACCCTGAAAGTAAATGAAAAGTCGATAGCAACGTTATATGAACTCTGATAATGCTAACAATTTGGAATTATGTCTATTGGATATAATTGATTGTTGTGTAGGCTATGGTGAGGACAAGGACAGAAGATGCGGAAGATTCTACTTCAGCACGGCTGGACAGGATGGAGAGAATGATCATGGAAATGGCGGAAACATTACGGTAACAACAGCAACAGCCCCAACATCAACCGCCACCACAACCGATACCTCCACCTGTAGTACAAGACTTTCATATTGAAGGCCAGACCATTACCCTCACTAAGGAGTTTAAAAAGATAAAGCCGCCATCCTTCAAAGGAGGAATAGAGCCAATGAAAGTAGAGGCATGGGTGTTGGGAATAGAGAAGTTATTTGAAGTTTTTCCTTGCACCGAAGCTTAAAAGGTGCAACTGGCTGCCTTTACTCTTGAAGACGAGGCGCGGAGGTGGTGGATGCTTACAAGAACTATGCATCAAGGGTTGACATGGGAGAGGTTCTTGGAATTTTTTTATGATAAGTACTTCCCTCAAAGTGTACGAGATAAGAAGGTAACTGAATTTGAGACTCTTCGACAAGGGAATAAGACCGTTGTTGAGTATGAAGCCTAATTTGCGGAACTAGCCCGGTTCGCGCCTCATATGGTAGACACGGATTATAAGAAGGCACGGAAGTTTGAAGGGGGACTACGGGGTGCTATTCTGGACAAGGTCAATATGCTGAAACTACCCACTTATGTCGATGTGTTAGAGAGGGCGGTCATAGCAGAAGGAAACCTCGCTAATCAGAACCGAATCTCTGAATGGAAAGGAAAGAGACAGAATATCCAATGGTCAAAGGGGACAATTACTCCACCAAACAAGAAACAAAATTCAGGAACTTCGACTACTTCTACCCCAGTCAAGGTTCGATTCCCATATGTTCAGAGTGCGGAAAGAGGCATCGTGGGACGTGCTATCGGGGGTCTGGAGCCTGCTTTCATTGTGGAAAAACAGGTCATGTGATAAGGGATTGCCCTCAGAGGAAGCAGCAACAAAATGGCAATAGGACTGCTACCAGTTCAGCGGGGTTCGGCACCAACCACCAACACCAAGGCACTGGTCAAATCTACTAATAACAAAGATACTGCAAGGCAAAGCAGGGTATTTGCTTTGGTCTAGGAGATGTGCAAAATGCTGCAATGGTAGTGTCAGGTACATTTATGGTTCATGGTCACTTTGCTTGTGTGTTATTTGATTCCGGCTCTACGCATTCTTTTGTGTCGAAACTATTTGCTCCTAATTTAGACGAGACTGAAGAAAAACTGTCTTATGTGTTGTGTGTGTCTTCACCTTTGGGAGACCCTATAATTTATGCTTCTGTGTATGTTGCATGTGAACTCCAACTTGAGGATATTCGGGTATATGCCAATCTGTTACCTCTTGATATGGCCTATTTTGATATTATTCTGGGAATGGACTGGTTGAGTGAATATGGCGCAACCATAGATTGTTCGACTAAACAAATTAGTTTCCACCCTCCGGGACAATCATAATCTACCATTCAGGGACATGGAGTGACTTCTCCACCTTACTTGATTTCCGCAGCAAAGGCTTGTAAATTAATTCAGAAAGGGTGTCAAGGGTATTTATGTAGTGTGTTAGAGGGACAAGTGGTGAATAGGAATACCGACATGATCCCTGTTGTCTGTGAATTTCCGGACGTCTTTCCGGAAGAATTACCAGGGCAGCTAATAGACCATGAAATTGAGTTTACAATTGAAGTAGCACCAGGAACTCAACCCATTTCTAAGACTCCGTATAGAATGTCACCAGTTGAGATGAAAGAATTGAAAATGCAGTTGCAAGATTTACTGGACAAAGGATTCATCCGTCCGAGCGTATCTCCGTGGGGTACACCAGTTCTGTTTGTGAAGAAGAAGGATGGGACACTCCGGCTTTGTATTGGTTATAGGGAACTGAACAAAGTCACCATCAAGAATAAGTATCCATTACCAAGAATCAATGACCTATTTGATCAGCTTCAAGGGGCACAAGTCTTTTCCAAGATTGATCTACGGTCTGGATACCATCAATTAAAGGTCAAGGCTGACGATGTTGAGAAGACAGCTTTTCGAACCCGGTACGGTCATTATGAATTTTTGGTTATGCCCTTTGGAGTTACTAACGCCCCAGCAGCCTTTATGGATTTGATGAACCGTGTTTTTATGTCCTATTTGGATGAATTTGTGGTGGTCTTTATTGACGATATTCTCATTTATTCAAAGAATGCGGAAGCTCATGAAACCCATCTTCGCTTAATTCTTCAAACCCTCTGAGAAAGGAAATTGTACGCAAAGCTAAAGAAATGTGAATTCTGGCTACTCGAGGTGGCATTTCTGGGGCATATTATCACAAAGGAAGGAGTTTCTGCTGATCCACATAAGATTGAGGCGATCATGAATTGGCCAAGTCCCACTAATGTGACTGAAGTGCGTAGCTTTATGGGGTTAGCTGGCTATTACAGACGGTTTGTTCAAGATTTTTCCAAAATTGCCGTGCCACTTACACAACTGACTCGAAAGGGAGTTGCATGCGAATGGTCAGAAGAGCGGGAATCTGCTTTCCAGGAATTGAAGCCGAGGTTAACCACAGCTCCAGTTCTGGCTTTACCGTCTGGTACCGACAGGTTTGTAATTTATAGTGATGCGTCCCATAAAGGATTAGGGTGTGTGCTTATGCAAGGTGGAAGGGTTATTGCCTATGCTTCACGACAACTTAAACTCCATGAAAAGAATTATCCCACGCATGATCTTGAGCTCGCGGCGGTAGTTTTTGCTTTAAAGATATGACGGCACTATTTGTATGGCATTACTTGTGAAATGTACACCGACCACAAAAGTCTCAAATACCTTTTTACCCAGAAGGAATTGAATATGCGGCAGCGTCGGTGGTTAGAGTTGATTAAAGACTACGATTTACAGATCCATTATCACCCTGGTAAAGCCAACACGGTTGCAGATGCTCTTAGTCGGAAAAATATGGGAGATTTGGCTAACCTGGTTACGAAACAAAAGGAATTGATAAGTGAATTGGATAAAATGAATATGGAGCTTGTGATACATGGACAGGAGGTAGTATTAGCAGCAGTAATAGCTCAACCGACTTTACTTAAAGAGATCAAGTTACATCAAATGGAGGATGATACTCTAAAGAAGGTATGTGATGAGTTTGAGATAAAACCAAAACCGGGGTTCAGTTAGTGGATTCGGTCCTCAAATTCCAAAATCGAGTATGTATCCCCAACGTATTGGAGCTTAAACGGAAATTGATGGAAGAAGCACATGCCTCAAGATTTTCTATGCATCTGGGAAGTACTAAAATGTACCGAGACTTGAAACAAAATTTTTGGTGGCCAAACATGAAAAAGGAGATTGCAGAATTCGTCTCCAAAGTGTTTGCAATGTCAGCAAGTGAAAGCGGAGCATCAAAAACCAGCAAGATTATTACAACTCCTTCCAATCCCGGAATGGAAGTGGGAACATCTAACCATGGATTTTGTTGTGGGGTTACCACGGACACCACGGGGTATGAATTCTATATGGGTCATTGTAGACCGGTTAACTAAGTCCACTCATTTTCTACTAGTGAAAACTCAGTACAATGCGGATAAACTGGCGGTACTCTATGTGAACGAAATTGTGAGGCTTCATGGCATTCCAGTCTCAATTGTATCAGATAGAGATCCGAAGTTTGTCTCCAGATTCTGGCAAAGTTTACAAGGAGCAATGGGTACAGAATTAAAGTTCAGCACAGCTTTCCACCCTCAGACCGACGGTCAGTTCGAGAGAACGATACAGACTCTAGAGGATATGCTCTGAATATGTGTGCTAGATTTTCAAGAAAGTTGGGAAATCCACCTACCGTTGGTAGAATTTGCGTACAATAATAGCTACCATTCGATTATAGATATGGCACCCTATGAAGCTTTGTATAGACGACCATGTCGCTCTCCCGTGTGTTGGGCTGAAGTTGGAGATAAATCCTTGCTAGGGCCTGAAATTGTTCAATTGACAACTGAAAAGGTTAAAACTATTCGGGAAAGATTGAAAACTGCGCAAAGTCGACAGAAGAATTATGCAGACAACCGACGGAGGGACTTGGAATTTGAGGCGGATAATCATGTCTTTGTGAAGGTCACTCCAATGAAAGGCCACCCAAGGTTCGGAAAAAGGGGTAAGTTGACACCCCGTTGTATTGGTCCCTTCCAAATTCTGGAAAGAGTAGGTCCAGTGGCTTATCGGGTTGCTCTTCCGCCAATTATGAGTCAAGTGCATAACGTGTTTCATGTCTCCATGCTTCGCGGATATCTTCCAGATCTGTCCCATGTCATTGATTACCACCAAATTGAGTTGGATGACAAGTTAACTTATGAGGAAAAACCAATCCGTATATTGGACCGGCAAGTGAAACAATTACGAAATTGATAAATTCCAATGGTAAAAGTGGAATGGCAAGAACATTACGGAACTGACGCGACTTGGGAAAGAGATGAGGAAATGCAACACCAGTATCCACATTTGTTTCTACCCTAAGGTAAAACAAGTTTGGAGGACCCAACTTATTTAAAGGGGGGAGAGTGTAATGACCCGACCCTCGTGCATGTTTTCTGATATGTTTTCAGACCCTATTCTGTGCTTTTTGAATGCTTGTTGTGAAATTCCCTGAGAAATTGAGGCTAAGTAAGTAAACCCCATGTTTAAGGATATTCATCTGTTCAACAAGGGAAAATATCTGTTACATCTCTAAGTTAGAAGCAGAAATTGGAAGTCTTAGGGGCTTAATTAACTGAAATTGAATATATATATATATGATCAACATAATTTTTATGTAATATTAAGCATGTTTGGGAAATTTCAATTTCGGATGTTTGAACAATTGATTTTTGTCTTTATTCAATATATATATATATATATATGTCTATGAGAAGCCTCTTTGAAGAAGACTTAGGAATTTCTCATAAAACCCTCTTGGGAGACAAGTGAAGGGAAGAGTGGAACAAGAAAGGATTGAGTGAGAGAAGACCTAGAGGGGAAACTTCAACAAGATTAGAGATTGAATAATCTGGTGAGAATTGGAAAGATCTAAGCTCAGAAATAAGTTCTTTAGCTTCTCTAACTCCTCTCTCGAATTTGAGTGTGATTCCATCATAATTGCACAACCTGGACTTGGAACATGCTTTTGAATTGGATGATTTTGAACTAAGTTGTCTATACATATATGTGAAGGAATTATCTTTTGTCTCTCATGAGAATTATGAAGAACTCACCATGCATATATATGTGATGTCGAATGCATAAGAAAGTTTAGTTATGTTTGAGAATCAAGAATCTAGTTATGTCTAGATTGATATGTATGTATTTGGAGATCCTATTAACATGAGTTTTAGGTTATGTTTTATTGATTAAACATGTTAATTTGAGCCTTGTGGAAGTGTCCCAAAAGAGTGTGATTTTGAAGCAAAATTCGGACTAAAATTGCAAAATCGCCGCACGTGCGAGGTTCATGGCCGCACATGCGGGAGCCAATCGTCGCACGTGCGGGGGTTGTGGCCGCACGTGCGGGAGAAGGACAAATTTGGGGTTTTGATTCTGCCTAAAAGGCACGTGCGGGACCAGCTGCCGCACATGCGGGGATCCCAGCCGCACGTGCGACACATGTGGGAAAATACGGGTTTCTCCGTTTTGCGTGTTGAACCCTCGGATATTTTTAGAATTTGCATTTTATGCCTACTAACATGTGTAAAATTAATTCGAAGTGAATTGAACCAAGAGAGGATTTAACAAAGAGAAATAAACTAATTTGTAAGTTTGAATGTGTGCAGGGCACACTACGGGAGGAACAAGCACGTCATCACAACACTGTGAGTAGTAGTACCGTTATATGCTTCAAATGTAGCTAATGATTGTCATAAGTATTATGTTCATGCATAAAATGCAACTATGTTATGTTTTAAAATATGTAAAGAAAGAAATGGGAAAGATGAAAAACATTCATTTAGTAAGACTCTGAATTGTAATATGAAACAAAGTGCTGCGCGGAACTAAGTGCTACGATGTGAGCCACCTCTAGAGTCCGTGTGAGACACCTCTTGAGTTCATACAAACATGATTCAAGGGCTTAATGCCAACTTACTCAAGGGCTTAGTGCCACATGATTCAAGGGCTTAATGCTAACTTATTCAAGGGCCTCGTGCCACTACGTTCAAGGGCTTAACGCCACCATGTTTAAGGGCTTTGTGCCATTACGTTTAAGGGCTTATAGCCATCATGTTTCAAGATATCATGTCGTAAGCTACCATGTTTCAAGAATGAGCCAAGACCGTCATGAAATTAATACAGATTCAGACCAACTATGTGTGAACCTTGTTATGCTTTGATGTATTCTATTTCAAGTCAAGCATTATTTTATTTATGCATTACTATTCACTGAGCTTGGCTCACTCTGTGTTATGTTTGTTTCTGTAGGTAACCAACCAGGTGGTCAGTCCTAGCCCTGACACCCGTTTTCTTTTGTCAACCTTCGCGGGTCCAGGCACTGCACGAAGCCATTTATTTTTGTAAAGTTTATTAAGATATTGGCTTACCTTTGATTACCCATTTAAGGTTGAAAGTATAGAACTTCAATGGTTTTTTTTGTATAGCCCATGATGGGGCTGGGACTGTATGTGTATTTTTATATAACCGATGCTACGAGATATAGTTTGGAACTTTATCTATTTTCTATGGTGCTTGTGATGCATATAAGGTCCTGGCATGTAGATATAGCTCAATGGAGATTATATGTATCATTATATTCTTATTATATGCTTCCGATAAGGCCCCGTATGTTATATATAACAGGTTAAATGCTCGTTTTCGAACGGGTCATGCCCACACTTGTAGGGGCGGGTTTGAGGGCGTGACAATACTTGATTCCAATATCCCAACGCCGCCATCGACGCCGAACAGTTTCTACTACCGAGATGGGTCGCCCAAAACCAATTGCAAAAGATCTCTTGGCCAGCATCCCTTCTGATGTTGATGCACAACCAACACAAGCCCTACCTCCTCCAAAGCCAAAACGAATCAAGAAGGCTCAACCAAAGGCTAAGGTAACTCAGACTGAATCTGTGGATACTTTGCCGATCTCCAAGTTGGCTGAGAGTGACAAATCTCAACCCTCTGTTGGGAAGAGGCGCTCTAAAGCTCAGCCATCAGAATCCCCAAAATCAAAAAGTTGAGGTCATCTTTTGCGACCACCTCGGGGTCTAAAAAGAATAATGCCCCCTGGGCTCCAAAAATTACTTTGGAAGACAAGCCAGTCATGGCTAACGACAGTGCTGATGACATCAATATCGGCGTAGCCCTCAGTACTGCTCTGCTCCTCCCCGATGATCTTAATCGAAATGCCGAGATGAGCGAGTACGAAAACTATGCTTTGATGCTTCAACGTTCTGTTCAAGTAAGTATCTTTCATCTGGTACTTTTTTCCTTCTCTTTCATACTTAGAAATTTTCTAATAACTTTTGTTTTGTGTTTTTTCAGGCTATCCAGCATGCCCATTCTTTCTCTATTCAATCTTTCGAAAATCGAGAGAAGTTGGCCGAGATGAAGAAGGAGTTCTCCAGCCTTCAAAAGACCAATAAAGGCTTACAGTAAAAAACGAAGAAGTTGGAAGACCAAGCTGAGCCTGCCATCAAAGCCCAAACTGATGCCGAAGAAAAGGCTGAATCTGCCAAGGCCATTAGGAAGGTCTCTGAGGCCCAGAAAAGAGAGGCCGAGAAAAAGATGGAACTGGCCCAAAAAGAGCTTCAAGAGGCCCTGGCCACGAAAGAAGCCGAAATCAAGGATGCCAATGAGAAGGCATATGCTCAAGGTATGGCCGACGTCATGGAGGCTTATGAAATTCAAGTGAAGCAGGCATGCAATAAGGGTTTCACCCTTGGTTGGATGTCTCTTCTAAAGAAGCTTAAGGTCCCCGTGGACTCGCCACTTCGGAAAGCTGATGCCATTCCTCTTCCGTTCCCTTCAACTCCTTCACCAGCTCAATCCGATGACGAATCTGAATCTGAAGACGAGACCCTGGTGAGAAGACCCAAGGAAGCAACTGGGGCCAAGTCTCCTCCTCAAAATGAGCAAGTCCTAGACTTGACTTAAGATGAGTAGGATGAGGAGGTTCGCAAAGAAGCTACTTCCGAGAAAACTTTATTCGATGTCCCCTTCGCCGACAAGAGTATTGATGAAACTTTGCAAGAGATTGATGCTGAGCTTGTGGCGGAGAAGGCGGCCGAGGTGGCTTCTCAACAGTCTTCCGAGGTCCCAACCCAACTCACTACCGATGCTGAGGAATCTTAGTTTTCGTGTCTTTTCTTTTGTACTTTGTTTTCGAAACAATGTAAGCCCTCCATATGGCCGATGTGCCTCCTTTTTGTTGAATGCTAATACAGCTTTCCATCACTGAGTGCTTGTTCCTTTGTCTTCTTTTGACTGCTTTTGCGTGATTCTATACTTAGAATATTCTGCATGTTTTTAACATACTCTTCCTTCTTTGTGCAATCTTCTCGGGGTGACACACCTCGGATATACAAACTTCTCGGCTTAACTTGTAAACTTTTAACAAGTGTTGAACATCATACTGGTTTAACTCAACTTGTAAATTGCTACAAATTTCAATAAGTGTTTAAACAATAATCTGGGTTTACCTTCAACTTGCAAATTGTCCACAAATTTCAACAAGTGTTTAATAATCTCGGTTTAACTTCAACTTGTAAATTGTCCAAAAATTTCAACAAGTGTTAAACAATGATCTCGGTTTAACTTAACTTGTAAATTGTCCACAAATTTCAATAAGTGTTAAACAATGATTTCGGTTTAACTTAACTTGTAAATTGTCCACAAATTTCAACAAGTGTTAAACATCTTTGTCTTCTCTTTGTCCCCTGATGTGAACCTGAGTTCCACTTGGGTTCTCATTATTTATGCATTTCAGAAACAACATTATGTATCTTTATCAGTCACAAGTGTTGAAGAATCTTGCTAGAATTTTATTTATGGCGTCAGCAAAAAATAAGTCAAATCTCAATAATAGAAAAATTTTCAGGTTACAAGTGTTCTAGGGTCTTGGTAACTCTTTGCCCTCATTATCTTCAAGCCGATATGCCCCATTGACTAGCACCGAGATGATTCTGTAGGGTCCTTCCCAATTTGGGCCAAGTTTGCCCTCTCTGGGATCCTTTTTGTTGCCGACGACTTTTCTTAAGACGAGGTCACCAATCTAAAATACGCTTGGGTTGACCTTTTTGTTATAAGCTTTTGCAAGTTGCTGCTGGTATGCTGTGAGCTGAATTGCAGCTTTCTCCCTTCGTTCTTCTAGAAGATCTAGATCTCGGGTTAAAAGTACATCTTTAGTCTCGTTCTCTACTTCCTGAGTTCTGATTCCTGGGATG